AATTTTTGTATGCTGAATTCATAAAATAATGTAAAATTAAACAAATTATTTGAGAATTAATTATGTCATTTTTATCTTTAAACTGAAGTATTTCCAAATGGCATTTTATAGCAGTTACTGTTGTCGTTTCTTATCATTTTATCTAAATAAGTGGTAACAGAAACTGGACAATACTATAATATCAATAGCATTAACATTACAGAAATTAGACAGAATAGATAGAAAGATACAATTTAATAAAATATTTCTCTGATCAATTAACAAAAGTGCAAAGATTCTAATAAAATCAAATGAATATATCATAAAACTTTAATCAAAGTTACAAAATAACAGGATGACATTGCATTCCTATTCCTCCTTGACAGATCACACAGTGTAGCATTATCAAATACTATCAAACCAAATCATCTTAGTGCCACAGGGAGGAAAGAATCAAAATAAAAAACTACTTATGCAACTATCACGGTATCTAGTACAGGTTCATCCATGTTGACATACACAAACTTTATAATCTAAATAATCTAGAGTAAGTCACTGTGGCATTACTTGTAGACAGTCTAGACACTATCTAGTGAATCTAATGATATTCAAAACAATATAGTATACAACACTAATCTAAACTTAAAAAATAAAGTGTGTGTGGAAAGCAGAGACACTATGTCAACAATGAATGTTGTCATGTAGATTGGACTTAGATGATTATTAATAACTAGAAATTCTCCCGTCAAGCATGACAGAATACTTTTTATGAGAAAGTAGACATTGCAGAATTGAGAAGCGCTTTGAGTCTAACTTGATGATGTGATGCTATTTCTGCAGCCCTTGACAAAGCCATTCTTATTCAATGTTGCTCAAGTTGGACTTCACAACCTTCAGTGTTCTTGGTTCTTTTATATATAGAATTTACCTGACCAATTTTATTCTTATGCATTCCCATAGGCAATTTTTTCCCTCCGACAAAATAGTGAGTCTTTTTAAATCCAAATTGATAACAAAGATAAATTTTATATACTGTATATTAGTTAGATGAGCAATAACAGTTTCTAAATAATGGGCTTGTTAGATTGTTACTTTTGATTTGATAACTGAATGTCACATGGTCACTATGAAAAGATTTTTTTTAAGAAGTGACCTGATGTAACTATCATTTTGAAAGTTTAAATTTAATGAAGCAAGTTCCTTTTCAGTTAGAAATACTAAAGCCTGTCATATAATACAGTCTAGAAAGTCGCAAGAATGAAATTCATACTTTTCCAAAACTCAACATAAACTACAGTTTTATAGGTAACACTTCAAAGAGCAACATAGTAACAACTTAGATCACAACTGATAAAAGATATAATCAATCATCTCCCAACTTCATCCATCATCAACATTTTTTATGCAATTAATCTACAGAGAAAAATGATAAAACTGCAAACAGAAATGGATTTTTTTACACATAAGTTAATACAATACTAGATGTAGATTGCAAAAAACCAATCTAACACAAAATTTTAAATTCTGAAAATTTTTAATATAATAAACTGATTTATTTTATGATATTATGAGAGGATTTTTATCATTATTCAAAGTGAATTTAATTAAAGTCAAATGAGAATTTATAGCAAATGTTTATCTTTCTTTTAAATAATACAAACCAAAGCCCAAATCATGTGATCAAAGAAACGAAGTTAAACTTATCTTTGATTACTTAATATAACAGTCGACTCCCCCTATAACACTGTTTATAATTCCGTTTTATATGAATTCCATGTTGTATGAGTCACTTAGATTTTACAAATACATGAGCCGTTCACAGCCTGGCACATGTATTTGTAAAATCTAAGTGACTCATACAACATGGAATTCATACAAAATGGAATTATAAACAGTGTTATGGGGGGAGTTGACTGTATAAACATTTCATGTTATAAAGATTTTGCTATTTTATTTTAAAAAATATAACTGTTATAAATTTTAAAACTAAAATCTTTTTTATTCATTATTATTTCTGTATTATTTTTACATAAATTTAATTTAAATTTATTTATATAAAAGTTAAAATATAGATACAAATTAAATAGTTTTATGAGATTTTAAAATATTTTTCTCAACTGATAAAAATGAAAATAATTAATATCATTTAAAGTAATGATTCTTAAGTGGTCCATAGATCAAATAACTAAATCTCAAATGAACCACTGCCCTCTGTCTATTTTTTTATCCTGTAATTATCACCTTATATGTGTGCCATATTATTTTGTCTATCCAATAACCTAATGTAACAGATATGTCATATGTGAAAATGTCCTTTCTTCTGGCTAAACAGCATAGAATTACATTTTGGAAAATTGACTAGATCAATCTGTGAACTTCCTGGCACATACAGTACTTGCAAACCACCAGTAGTCCACAGACCATGTTTTGAGAACCATTGAGTTAAAGATCCTTCCATCATCAATTAATAACAATAACTTGAAATAACTCTCACATTAATATTATTTGATTTTATTCTAATTCTTAAATCATTCATTTAATTTATTTAAGAGAAATGTGATTCTTGCCTGAATTGAAATTTGAATTCATAATGTAGCAAATTAGAAATTATCCAAATTCCACCAAAAACATTTTGTCAATATATAAACACTAAAAACATCTGCAATATGAATTACAATTTTATCCATATCTCACACATATAAGGACACAACCATGACAAAGTCAAACTTCTTTTTATATGTAGAAAGTAAATTTTGTTTAAAGATTTTTAAAAATGGAAATGTGTTTTATACATTGTGATTTATATTTTGATGCTCCTGGTTCATTAAACAATCAAACTGGCTACACAACAGAAATAATTAATTGTAAAATCAGTTTTTAAATTACTATTAATATTTTGATCTTCTTACATCAAAATTTTATTGTATATAAAAACTGTGTTTAAAAAGTATCAAATAATAAAATTTGAATAAACTAACATAATTTCATAAGTTGTTTAATTTTATGTCAAGATACTAAAACTGATTGATCACAGTCAAACTCATTTAGATGAATAATTTGCTATTATTTACACTTGGATTTATATGAACAAATCAATTACAGTCTTTGATTTTCAGACATCTTGCTCTTTTGTACAAGCTACAATGTGACACCCCTAAATTGCTTTTTGATACAAAACTTAAGAGTTTCATACATTTTTGGCTAAGAAACAAAAAATTCAAGCTATTGTGTAGTGAAGTCTTCTGCCAGTTTTCTTTTTGGAAACAGCAAAAATAATTCAGGAAAGATTCTTTATTGTCTGTGTTTTATTTTAATTTACAGTTTTAATGGTTTAAATCATGTTCTGTGTATTCATTGTAAAAAACAAACTTTCTTATCTTTGAGACTTTTACAGTTTTTCCTTCTAGTTTCCTGTAAACTAAACTCCCTTTAAAACAGTCCCAAAATTTTAGAATTACATGTCATATTCATTTTTTCAGTTAAGAAGCAAGACGGTAGTATTTCTAAAATAATACTTAATTGATTGATTCAATAAGGTTTTCAAGTATGATTCTAATATCATATTGAATTCATTTTCAAGAACAAACCAAACTCAAACCTTTAAATAATATAAGCCAGTTTTTTCCATAATAATAATAATAATAATTAAAAATCAGCAAGATGAAAATACAGTCAAATTTGTATTAATGTTATTCAATCACTTAGCCATTTATCTTTAAGATGAGTGATGATTTTTGAATTATTGATTTATGTTAAAGAATTTATGACATTATTCCATTTAAGTTATATAGTAAGTATAATGAACTGAAAATTATAATTCATAAATTTCAATCAACTGTATATATGATGAATGTTACAGAGACACAGTTTAAATACAATCAATTAATAATTCAAACATCTTAACAACCACAAACTTCTGTAACAATTTATGATATATAAATTAACAAAATTTGTTTATCATAAATTGTAACAAATCAAAATTATTGCTAATAAATTTCAATTAGCAATGAAAGATGTATTTGTCAGATATGTAACCAACAAATAATTCAAAAATCTCAATAACTGGCTTGTAGGATAATTTATGACATAGAATTCATTTCAGATTAACAAAATACATGTATAAAGAATCAAAAACTACAGTTCAAGAATTTCAATCAGTATTTGTGTATCTGTGAAACATGATGCATGTTTCACAGATACATAAATGGATATAAACAGAAAAACCTAACAAAACAAACTTATACCCAATCTACAGTATATAACTGATTTCATACAAGTTTATAATCAAAAACACCAAGAAATTAAAAACATTTTGTAATTTAGATTGTTGGAAGTAAAGAAAATATATTGTATGTTAAAAATGTATGTTAAAATTTAACAAAATGAAGCATGTAAATTAAGAAAAAAAAGAAAAAAAAAACAAATTAAACTAAGATATACTTTGATTTTATCTGATTCAGTTTATAAAGATATTATTGATTAATTAATGCATATAGCTGAGGTATAATATAATGTTAATCAGGCAATACTTCAATTGAGATTTATCACGATATAAGCCATTAATTTGAATAATAATTGATTAAATGTCAGCATCTTTGCCTAATCGAGTTTTCATTCAATTGTTTACATTTGTTGAATTATTCTACACAAATCAAGTTATTCCATCAATCAACAAAGTAAAAGCATCTCTAATTTCAACAAAACCCAATTAAATAGGTCATTTTAATGTATTAAAATTTAAAAAAATTAATTGTGTGAATTAGAAAAAAACAAATAAGAAATGTCCAACCTTTATCTAATTTATCAAGATAATCTTAGATTAGTGTGTAGATGTTAAGTTTAGTTCATTTATATGTAAGTATATATGTATAATATACCTAAATTAACTTCTATCTATTATTGCATAAAGATGTGATATGAATATATGATGTAAGGTTAATCAGGCAATAATTCAATCAAGGTTTAATATGATATAAACCGTTGAATCTGTATAATGATTGATTAAATGCCAACATCTTTACCTTATCGCATAGGGTTTTAACTTGATTTTCAGTCAATTGTTTACATTCGTTGAGTTGTTCTATCCACGAATCGAGTTCCTTCAAAACTGTCTTATCTTCCATTATTGCTTATACTAAAACATAAATAATCGAATAATATAGTTTAAAAAGTGTTAAATATTCATCAAATGCAACGATATTAAATATACTTTTTATGCAGAATTTCACTTACTTCCTCATCTATCGAATGACATAAAACCAAAATGGCTCTCAGTAAATTAATAACCAACGACAGCCATTCCGTAATTGGGCCAACTACTCGATAATACTCAAAGATATTTTATAAAACTATCCCTAAATGGCTCTTTTCTACGTCACGTGATTTATATTAGCGAATAGAATCGTGTATAACTAACGTTTTCTCTAATCGTTATTTAAGTAGTCTTCAGAGTAATAATTTTGAGATTAATATTTTTCGAATTTATATTTATAATTTATTATATTTATTTATTAATATAATGTTAACTTTTAGAATTATTTTTAAAATGTTATTATAATTTATTGATTTTTTAAATAAATTTATTTTTATTTTATTTTTTTTTATGTAGACGATGCCTGGGTTGTCGAGAGTATTGCCAACTCTTGTATGGACGTCGTTTGGTTTTAGGTGGTTAGAAACACTTTGTTAAATCCGTTTCCATCTTTCGTATTTTAATATTAAGTATAAAGATGACTGAACAATTATATCATCGAGGAACTTTAAGAGGACATAATGGATGGGTTACTCAAATTGCTACAAATCCAAAATTTCCCGATACAATTTTGTCTGCTTCGAGAGGTAAGCCTAACATACATTGGAAAATTAATGAAAAAGTTATCAAAGATGAAATTTATATAACTATTATACTAAATTATTTTTAATGTAATTTTGATTGTTTAAAAGATAAATAATTAAAATAGTTTTGTAAATTAAGATTACAAACTCAATTATACTTTAGTTTATAAAAAATCTTTCAATAAATAAGCTCAAGCATAATGGAGATTGTAATATTAATTATAATTAAGGAAACTGCTGGGTCCAAGTGCTGAAACAAATATTATAATTTTGTAAAGTTATAATTCTGATATTTCAATGAAATTTTTTTTTTCTTGGATAGGAAAGTTTCAGATGTGAATTGTGAACTGTTGAAGGTAACCGTGTTGGGACCTTAACAGAGCTGTAGAGCATACTCATAGTAATAAAAAAGTCAAAGGAACCACACCCACAAGCAATCCTTCATGAGATATCCCCCAAAATGACTGAACTTTTTGAGGCATTTGTGCAGTTTAGGGGTTTTCTTCCATAAAATTGATCGATTCTAGACT